TTTGTGTATTCGCCGCCATTCTCCGTATCAGCGAAGACAACTCAAGCGACAAAACTTTCGACTAAAGTAGAAGATGGATTCAAGGAGACCGGCTTGTAGTTCATTCCAAACCCCCAACGCAAACCTCCCGCAAGACAAATAAAATAAAACGTTTGTCTAGTGCTAGGCGTCGAAATAAGACGAGAGTCAACATCAGGAAGGCTTTCAACAAACGGAGAGATCTCCGGTCTGCTCTAGGTCTCAAACGGGTCCTATACAAAGCAATAACATGTATTGTTCATGAACGTGTTTCCATAATAATACAATGATGCACGCTGCACACCTCTGGTCGCCAGAGAGGGCGTAGTTCTGCAAAAACTCAGAGATTGCGCAATGCACCTTTAAAAAGTGTTTTTTTTTTCACTATTATTTTCAACATAATCTGCATTTTCATGGGTTTAAATATTTGTGTTATAAGAGACAGACAACTTTGTGCATGAAAACCACTCCTGGTGAAAAAATAAAAAACTTGATTTGCAAAAGTCAGCAAAATTTTGACAAGCCAAACATTTCAATCTCTTAGTAACATGTAATTTATTTAAGTCACAAAATCCGTAAAATAAGTATAATGAACTACGTAAATAATAGCATTTCGAATTGCCCAAAAATCAAAACATAGTTGACACCTCATGTCAAAAACCTCGACTGGCTGTCGTTTGGAACATTAGGACTAAAAATATCGACATAACACACTCATGGGCATCAATCACTTCATTGAATACTTGCCGGCTAATAAATAAATAAATAATTAATTAATACCGTATGATCCATCTGGTTTTCAAATCCACATTGTTTGAGCATCACGGCATCGATGTCTGTCAAAAAACGTTGCATAACTCTCTAGTATTTAAGGTATGTCCAGCGAGATCACGGGAAAACCCACACTACCGGATATTTCGACTACATCATTGTTTGCTTTCAGAGAAGAGAGAGAAAATCGTGGCCTGAGCAGCTTCAAACATACTGTCTGTCTGAGACTAACGCACGCACGTATAAATTTGCTCTTCACTTGCTGAAATTGAATCGGAATGATCAAGATAAATAGATAATCTAGAAACATAACTAGTCAACTGTTTATGCTAAAAATGAACTCATCCTTCTTCATGAAGATCCAGCAATTATGAATCATCTTGCAAATTTAGTGGGTCATGGTTTTAAAATGTCATGCACTGGAAAACTGTACCTGGAAAAGCTTGATGTTGAGCCCTGGATACACAAGTAAACGTACATCTAATGTCTATAAATATATTCTAACACTTTTGTCTCTGGCCTATCTAGTCATTTTTAGCTTGATAATAATAAAACGCTTCTGTGAAATCTGAAAGCAGATAATCAAACTAATTTATCTGCTGTGCACAGGCTGGTTTTAAAGTTAGGACTTCCCTGAAACAAAGTTTCTCACGCAAAGAAATTATCAGCCACCCTGCAGCTTCCTCTCTTAGCAAAGCTGCCCTCGCGGCTGCTATTGTAGTGAACACACCAAACATAGAGCACACAATTACAGACACAATTCAAGGCACGGACTAGTATGATGCACACACCAATACATAAGACACAGTGAAATAAACTATAATGCATGCTCATCCCTCCTTTTAAAATGATGAATCTAATAAAATTTCAACAAAAACAAAAAAAAAAGAACCAATGAATGCATTGCTAATTTGAAGCTTGCATGCTTCTGAGATTTATTGGAGTCTATAAACTTTAAGTGTTTGAACTTTCTTGGTCTACGTTGCCGTTCCCTTATATAGACATTCAGAGCAAGTTCTCGCATCTCTGCCAAGATTCCTCGGCAGCCAATCAGTGCCTTGATATAGCCGTACCGTAAGCCCTCAAGTGAGCAGACGTCATTTCATTTGCTGTCTGAATGAACCAACAAAACTACCAATTAGGCCATCATGCAGTGTCATCCAAAGAAATGGAGCGAGGCGGAGAGAAATGCAGACAACACAGTAATTGTGTCCTTATTAGTTTCATTACATTTGATGGTATCAATCATACTTTGTTCCAAATTGGCTGTTTGTCTTTCATGTGGGTGGATCATAAGGTTATACGAGTGTTACTGTGAATACCAATGAACGCCTATCATTGGTTTTGATTAAAAACGCATAATTTACACATTTTTTGATGTTTCAAAGCCAAATGTAAGGGCTACAAGTTTGAAACTTTTCTAAACTTAAGTTGTTATTTACTGAAATTCCTCTCCTCCGCCATATAGCTCTTACTGTAAATCTCATTTGCATTCGCGATTATGAAAAAGTAAGGCCTCAAGTTCGTTCACACCATGTTTGACATCAAATCCAATTGGTTCTCATGTTTCATTGAGATCAAACGTGGCGCAACACATCTTAATGCATCATATTTGCATCAGGTGAATCAATTTTTTTTTTATTAACTAAAACACAACAAAGCTCTTAAATCTCGATCACATTCGCATGTATTTAAACATAACGCTTGGTTTTCACGTGTCATTCGTTGACGACAAAACTGGTGCAACACATCTTGAGCTGTGGATAAACTTAAAATTTTTATTAACTAAAACATGACACGTCTTTCAAATCTAATTTACAATTGCATATATTTAAATATAACGCATCAAGACAAACCGCATCAGAATTCATGTCAAAATTTACCAATGCTTTTAGTTCTTGTGCGATTTGTCATTTGCGTCAACCTTCATGCAACACATCATGATATGTTACATTTAAATATACGTGAATTAAATTTACATTTTTTATTAACTACCACACGACTTCTCCCTAAAATCTTATTCACGTTTGCACATATTTAAATATAACGCTTCAAGGTAAGTCACATCAGGCTGACATCAAACTTTGTACAACACATTCATTTGAAGATACATGAATGCAAATGAGATTCTGCTAAACAACTAATTTTTTGTTCATGGAATTAATTCATGCGTTTTGAGCAACATACTGTAAAGGCCTTTTCACACCGGGACCAGTGGTGGAGGAAGTACTGAATCTCAAGTATAAATAACCAGATAAATATTTACTTTAGTAAAAGTAGAAGTAACACAATGACAACCATACTTAAGTAAAAAGTAAAAAGTACCTGATTTTAAATGTACTTTAAGTATTAAAAGTAAAAGTACTTGCATAACAATTTATTCTTTTAATGTCTATTTTCTAATGATTAATAAAACATTTAATTCTAACTCATTCAACCTAATACTCCTATAATGACGTTAAATAATGATAGAAAAAAATTGTTGACAATATTTCTGAAACAAGCTTCCAATTAGGCAATAGTACAGATCATGCTCATCCTTACTATATGTTAATAACTATGTTTGGCAGTAAACGCGATTCATTTATGGTGTAATTCTGAACCTCTTGGCTTGCCATAATCTTAACCAAACGTACATTACACAAGGTGCGTTTCCTATGCATGTAAAAACAAATTTTCGCGTATAAATTGCACGATAAACGCACTGCGTGCGAGATAGACACATTTTGTGTGACCAGGTTGATATATCTATGGCAACCAAACGTCACTGGTGGGACAAACGTGCAACGGACGGATTACGTTTTGGCAGGGGAAAAACTGATCAGAAAATGTAACAGAAGTTGTAGAAATGTAGTGGAGCAGAAAGTATAATAATTGCTCCAAAATGTAACGAAGTAAAAGTAAAAAGTATGCACTATTTTCTACTTAAGTAAAGTAAAGATACGTGAAAAATGTACTTAGGTAAAGTAACAAAGTATTTGTACTTCGTTACATTCCACCACTGACCGGGACGAATTTAACACGCGTCATTCGCCGATGTTTAACGCCTTGTGACTAAACAAAGGGCGCCAATGTGAGTGTGCACACGCATAAAAGCGTCATTTAAAAAAAAAAAAAACGCCTCGGGTTCATTTTTTTTTAGTTTGACGCTCTGCGTCAAAAACTATCCGACCAATGAGATTGGCGCTTTTGCTCACGTGTTTGGAGCTTCTGAAGTTACAGTAAAACACAACTTGGGGGCGCTCAAACACAAAACGGTCTTGCCGAGCACACATATGCAACGACGAAGAAGATATACACCAAGTATCGTCGCCCGTCTACACAGACAGGAAGAAATAAGACGAGGAAGATGCGAGGCAAGATGCTGGTCTCGTTGGTGCTAGAACATAAAGAACTATATGACAAACGAGACAGAGACTAAAAAAATCTTGATAAAAGAGAACTGTTATGGAGTGGTATTGCAGAGCAAATTGGCGCCATCTAAAGGCCAATTTATACTTCTGCGTAGGGTGCGCGCGGTAGGTACGGCGTAGCATACGCAAATTTGCTCCCATATCGCGTACCCTTCGCCGTAGCCTGACACGCACCTCTTCAAAAATGTAACTACACTTCTCTCATTTCTGCCTTTCAGTTTTTGTAATTTCACTAAAACTAACTGTTTTTCCACCTCAATAAGCTCCAACTCCAACATGATCAGCTCTCTTTCAATCGCTATTGCTTGTAGTAACCTAGCTGCGAGGAATCTAAACACAGTGGAACATTAAAACCCTCCACCGCCAACTAGCGTTTCGGAGCAGTACTGCAGAGCAACCAAGACCTGAACGCAGAAGTATAAATGCTCACAACGGCGTCGCCTACGTGCGTAGCCAACGCCGTACACTACGGCGTACCCTCGACGCAGAAGTATAAATTGGCCTTACTATCAGGGAATGAATTTGCATGTTCACTCGGCTCATCGTCAGGGAAAATCCGCATTGAAAAAATGCATTGAAAAACGCTGACGAATAACGCACGCTGATATTGGTCCCGGAGTGTACGGGCCTTCCAAATTTCTATGAAATATACCTTAACATTTCTTCAACTGAGACTGATCTAATCTAAAAGATCTGACCAATCTGTCAAATTACAGTAAGACAGAAACAACTACAAACTCTGAGAGATAAAATTAACAAATTAGCGGGGAAAAATAAATACATGTCTTGAAAACTTACCTTGGGTGGGTCGTAGAGCTCTAGCTGGTACCTCTCGCTAGCTGTGTGGTCATTGGTCCTCCTGACCTGCAGGCGGCAGCGCAGCCAATGCGGGGGTGTGTCTGAGATAGTGTCATCCACCTCCAGGTACCGCAGCTGCCCCTCTTTACAAACACTTCCTGTCTCTTGCCGCCGTCTCACGGTTCGCAATGGATTCCAACGTTCCCACAGTGCAACCTTCTTTGCGGTAACCTGCACAGTCTGAGGTGGGGTGCTTTCAACAGTCGCAGATGGTCCGCCCACCTGGTGTGAATCGTCCCTAGGGTAACCACTTGAAGATTCATCAAGTTGCGTCGATTTCTTAAAGAGTTGGGACACGCTTTCTCGGATGCGTCTGACGGAAATGTGCGTTACCTCACTGCGCGAAGGGAAGGGAAACGCAGGGTGCGTGTATCTTTCTGACCCGGTCCTCCGCTCCGGGTGTTCATCTTCCTGGCTGTGTGGCCGCGTTGCGCGTGTAGTGTCTGTAGGAGAGCAGCGCAGCAACTGCTCCTGTTCCCTAGGGATGCCAACGGCATCTGGTTTGGGCGCAAACGCGCCGACTAGCGGAGACGCTCCTGGCCGCACGGTCTCCCGGTAATCCAGCACCCCTGAGAAGGAAGTGATGCGTAAGCGGCTAGTCATGGGTAGTAATGGCGGTGGCCGCAGGGGGGGTTCTGCATCTTTAGCCACCTCACAGCTGAAGTGGTGCTGGAACAGTGCACTGAATTGCTTGGAGAAATTTTCCGGCGGGACCACATCCTGTACCGGCCGCTCTTTGATGAAGCGCCGGTAGTGCTGGGCAAGTTCTCGGGCCGTGGTGCTGGCATGCAACTCGCAGAACTCCCTCCATCCACAGGGGGGTGCTACGGACAGTGCAGTGCTTGTGGTCTGCTGGACAGTGTTACCATTCATTGCAGTAACCAGCACAGCAGGAAATCACTGCGAAAAACAGATTAACAACATCACAAAATTGCATCCATGCACAATAAAGTCCGTCCTATACTGTGATTGCTAACGAGAATTGAAATGGATTTGCAATGTAACCCCGCATCAAGTTGCTTTTTTAAGACACTTACTGCATAATGAAAAATATCAAGTACACGCTTTATTTTGTGAAGAAGCTACTTCATTACATGCAAGTTGGGAGTCCCGAATTAGCCAGGACGTCCCGTATTCTAGGCCTAAATTATTTGTCCCGTACAAGTCAATCACATAAATGTGATTGGTCATCATCCAATCACAGCCCACACTCATGCCCATCAGACCATACCAATAACAAACTCTACATTGAGAATTAGACTAATTATTCTTTTGGGAAAAATCATTGTTTGCTTTGCAAACAGAATCCTCTGCTGTCTGGACGCTCCCAGTTCGACCTGGACTCGCGCTTATGGCAAATTAGTTTTGGTGAATTCAAACAACGTGATTATTGACAAGTCCAACATCAGATATGCAAGAAAACATGAACTCTTCCTGGGGGATTAATATGCTGATGTGATTTGCTGCCTTTTTTTTAAATTCGGGATTCTTTGATGAATAGTTTCAAAGTAGATTAATCCAAAATAAAATAAAAAGCTTTTGTAACATTAGTTTTTTTCTTTACGGTCACTTTTGATTACCTAGTTTAATGCGTCCTTGCTTAATAAAAGTACTTTCTTTAATTTAAATTAAATGTATAATGTTACAAAAAGCTTTCTATTTCAGATAAATGCTATTATTTTGAACTTTGTTTAATGTGATTTTTTTTGTGTGACCTTAAAATTCGTTTTCGAATTAAATTGTACATAAATAGTTTATGTCTGAGAACCTTTTAAACACATACGAGCCTGAAATGTCATATACAGTGTGATGCAGTACAAATATTTTTTAAGTGTCCCTTATTTTCATGTAAAGAACCACGATTGTCCCGCATTTTACTTTTCCGAAGTTGGCAACCCTACTTGTAAGCTAAGGTTACCAGACTCTATGTTGCTGCAAATTAACATAGAACGTAACTTGCAGCAACAAGGCAACCAACATGATTCATTTTCAAAAGCTACATCTAAATGCAAATTAATAATCCATTTAAAATTGGACTGAGGGCTAAATTGGACTGAAAAGATTTTATGTAGATGCCTCAAACAATTCAAATGAGCTCAAATTTCAAATGAAATTTCGAATCAATTGAGAGGTGGCAAAGATCGTAATCTTTTAACAGGAACATTTTGGCCTCGTCTCAAATGTGTTGTGTCTTCATGTGTATGTTTATACATATTACGTCTAGTGAATGTGCATGTTTATTTATGCTCACACTCACAGTAGCTCTGGTGACATTCTTGTTCTGGGTTTTTTATGTGGCAACTGGGCACTTTGCTTACGGCTACAATTTTGCTCAGAATGCACACATAAACAAATATGCGAATGTTTGCGGTCTCAAGTTTACGGTCTTGAGACCTTGTAGGGGGTGGTGATGGCGCAGTGGATACGACACATGCCTTTGGTGCGAGAGACCCGGGTTCGAATCCACTGTGAGACACCAATGTGTCCCTGAGCAAGACACTTGACCCCTAGTTGCTCCAGAGGCGTGCGACCTCTGACATATATAGCAATTGTAAGTCACTTTGGATAATAGCGTCAGCTAAATGAATAAATGTAATGTAAATGTCTTCTAAACCTTTGGGGGGATAAAACAGTCCACATAAACATACCTAATAAGAACTGCTGATCTCCACCGACTCAAGCATCAAAGATGGTTAAATGCAAATAAGCAGCAGTGTGATTGCTCAAATTCGGCGTGAAATCCTAATCTTTTTCGAAATGCATTTTATTGGTCTTATTGTGAATGATCCATCCATGCATGTTTCATTTGATTTATTTATTCATTTATATTCACCTTGTAATTTGATGTCACAAGTCAATCTTTTGGTGGAAATATACAGACCTCTCTATGGTGATGCATGGCACCCTTTTCTTACAGTCTGATATACCCTGGCACATGGCAGCAACTCAATGCATTTAGGCATTTACAAGTTCAATCAGAGCATCACAATGGGAGGGAAAGGTGATTTAAATGACACTGAACGTGGCAAGGTTGTTGAGTATTTCAGAAACGGCTGATCTACAGGGATTTTCAAACACAAACCATCTCTTGGGGCCAGTTGTTCAAAGGTAAACTGATCGGATTTTGGTTATCGGATTGGATCAAATCTTGAAAATGGGTTGTTCAAAAGGGAAAGTAGGATTCTGAAATCAGATTAGATCAGGGAATCCAATCCTAGTTTTAATCTGGATCAAACCTTCAGTTTGTGTTGTTCAAAACTTGTCAGTGGGATTTGGATAACTTTGATCCAAAAAACAGGATTATCTTGATCCCAACTTGGTCAAATAATACATTTGTATCATTTAGTGTATATACTTTTCTTTATATTTTTGCACTTGACTTGTGTAACCGTTGTAACAGTGATAAAGTAGACATAGGCTAACAATTAAGCTATTCAGTATATAAAGTAAAAATGTCCCCATTTGTGTTTTGTCTCAAAATAAGAAACACTTACAGTGACCCCATGTTGGCTCTTCTACCTGTTCTTTACATAGCTGGTAGCCCACATTGTGATATGTTGTCCCATTTAGAGCACTGGTAATCTTGAAAACTGTGTATCTGGATCAGGGTGATCCAGTCCAATGTTGCTTTAAAAAACCGGCATAAAAGTAAGACGGATTACCTGATCCTGGATAGGAAAAAATGGGATTTCCAAATCCGGATCATTTTGATCCAGATTAAATGTTTTGAACAACTGGCCCTTGGGTTTACAGAAAAAGAGGAAATATCCAGTGAGCGGCACAGTTCTGTGGGTGAAAATGCCTTGTTGATGCCAGAGGTCAGAGGAGAATGGCCAGACTGGTAAAAAGGCAACATTAACTCAAATAACCACTTGTTACAAACCGAGATCTGCAGATGAGCATCTCTAAATGGATTGAACCTTGAAGCAGACGGCCTACAGCAGCAGAAAACACACCGGTGACACTCCTGTCAGCTTAGAACAGGAAACTGAGGCCACAATTCACACTGACTCACAGGCATTAATATCTTTCCTCCATTCAACCAACAACCAATACATTGAACCAAGCTACAATACGGAAGATCTGGATATTATATAAGGTTTTGATAGTCTAGTGTGCGTGAACACTTTCTCTCTTTGTTTACGCTGATTGAGCAATCTCTGTACCGAAACTGTTCAATGAATCAAGCTTTCTATGAACGCTAACGAAGTGTATCAGTTTAGCTCATCACTTCTGAACTCAGCCTGTACAACAGATTCTTCACTTTTACTCACTCCCTCATTCATCTCTCCAGTACAGGAAGAGCGTGACTAATATCGCTCGAGCCACTTTACAACGCGCGACGGGTCAAACACAGAAATATCTGAGGGCCATTGTTGATGTGAAGAGGAAGACTGAGGAAGTTGAAAGTGTCAGAAGCATCTGATACCAGTCACTGATGGGCCCGCGGTTTTCGATGCGGAATTTGCTCGTGAATGTGCGCAGTCCCTCAACACGTGGTGCAAACCACCTTCGGAATCAGATCACAGTCGCCATTTGCAGCTGGGGGAATTTTTCTTTTGAGGCTAAAAAAAAAATAAAAAAAATCTGCACATGGGTGCCGCGCTGCACCAGACGCGTTGCGACACAACTGGAGCCAATCTCCCCATTCTCTTCCCCACATCCTCATTCACGAGCGCACAGCGCTCTCGGACGCCTGCGAACGTTTAACTCTGCGTGAGAAGTGAAGGCCTGTTCTTAAAGATCCGTTGGAAGCCCTGAAGCATGACAAAATGAAGGTTTAATACACGAAGAAAGCAACAGATCAGAAAAACCACAACACTCGCATACTGAAGGAGAACAAAAAGAGAAGGGGGGCATTCTTTAGACGGCATCATGCACTTTGCTCTTTTATAGGGTGACAGGAAGCATTAACCTACACAGGGAGAGGAACACCCATCACACATTTAGCTGGTTTCTTTGGTGTGCAAAGTCCTTTCTAAAAAGTCGAGGTCAAAGCTGGTCACGAACGTCTTTTTGCACTCAAGGCTTCCTAATTTGCTTAAAGAAATGGTTTGGTCAAAAATGCAAATTCTGGTATCGTGGACAAAGTTTTAAATCACTGTGGTTTTTTATTTAATTTACAACCACAAAAGAAAAAAATCCACAATAGCATTTTTATGTGACTTTACAAAAGGCAGAACGGATTAATGTCAACGTAATAAAACAAAGGATAGTGTTGTAGCGTACGACGGAAATAAGTGTGGAAAAGAATCATCACAGTCTTTGAAAAGGGTCCGTTTTTGATGGAAATCAAACCCAAATTTGTTTGATCTATTCAATAACCATGAGACAAAGAATGATAATTTAATCGAATTAAGTGAAAATTACAGATCATTTGGTTATTTTCCATATGCAAACCATCACACAAAACACATTTCTGCTTTTTAAAAAAAAAGGTTGGGGAAGTGAAATGGAAACTCTGGGATCATTAACCCAATCATTGTATGGTTTTCTTTCAGCCACTTTTTGTATTCCACAGAAGAAAGTCAGTCATAGAGGGTTTGGAAAGTCATGCGATAATGTTTATAAGGGTGAACCATTTCTACAATGTCAGACTAGCACCTAACCAGCCTGGCAAGTCATCGACGCGAGTGCATGTCTCGTGTTTACACCATGGCCCGTGCTTCAGAGCGCATGCCGTGTGACGTAGTCCCGCCCCCTGTGCTGGCCCCCGGGTGTTCGTTCTATCAGTGATCATCCGGCCCACTCATGACTCAGCAACCTCCAAACAAACTCACATCATTTCCTCTCTGGCCGTCTCTATTCTCTCCTTCCTCATCCTTCACATGCATGCATGTTAAATTCCCGTTCTTGAAATACCTTTTCATCCTAACTGCCCTTTTACTCCATCTTTAAAC